GCGCTCGCGGGCCACTCTGAACTGCGGTCAGGGTTCTCTGTGACAGTGCCTGGCCCGGTAAGCTCCCTGGTGGTCAGTGGGCAAAGGGCAAGCAGAGCACGTCCCCCTAAGGAGCCAGAGAGCCTGCTGCGGAGAGAGCAGGGGTCCTTCCTCCGCCCTATCCGTCCTCTGGTTGCTGCCGAGGCCACTCCGCACAGGTCATGGGTCATTCTCACCGCGGTTCCTGTGAAGGGGTGCGGGGAGCAAGGACACCTATTGATCCGATTTTATTGCATTTTATTTTGAGCCGGCCTCATGTAGCCCAAGCCGGCCTTGAAGTTCGGAGCTCCCTGCCTCAGCCTCCCTGTTTGCTTAGTTAGGAGGTGGGCATGTATCGCCATGCCTGGCACGATGGCTCACACCTGTCATCCCAGCTCTTGGTGTGTGGCAGGAGCTCAAGGCCATCCTGGGCTATAGAGTGAGAACCTATCTCTAAAGCAAATAAATGAATGAATGAAATCACAGAGGAGGAGCGTGCAGTGGGGGAGGGGCAGGAAGAAATGGACTGAGTGGTATTTCAGGCCAAGCGAAGGAAGGCACCAGTTAGTCTCCAGGCTGGTGTCCCCAGCTCACAGCCGGGTAGGACCAGGCTGGTTTCCTCTCACAGCTGTGGGTCCTGCCTGTACCACCACCTCATTAGTCCCTGTTCTAGCTGTGCCAAGCTGTATAGCCTGCCCGGCCTGACCTCCCTCAGCTTTATGAACAGGGAACTCGAGTTCCCCCTGTGCTGGGGCAACAGACATCCTTCTAACTGGATGCTCAGGACTAGTTGGTCACCCAGGTGGCCCCACCCTCCTGTGCTGTCTCAGGGGAAAGAACATGGCAGCTTCTGGGCTGCACTTGGCATGTGTGCCAGGCAGCCTCTTCAGTGTGGAGGGTGGTATACAGAGGGCCTTGTGGCCACACAGCTTCACCTACTGCCAGTTCAGCATTGACGATAGGTGTTCACGGACCAGAGTGGTACAGGGCATGCTGGTGTCTGCCGGGTTAGTAGTACTGGGGAGCATAGCAGGAGAAGGTGTACACTGATGAGCCCTTGTCAGTGCATTCTGGGTTCTCTGAGGCCTTGGATTGTTCTGGAATGGCCATGGTGATGTTCATTGTTTTGTGTCTCCACAGGTCTGTTCTGGTGCCCCGCTGCTGAGCCATGCTGGGCCGCAGTGTGGGGCGACCTCTGGGCAGCGGGCCTGAATTCTTGGGCTGGGAGCCGGTGGACCCTGAGTCGGGCCGCCCCCTGCAGCCTGCCCAAGGTCCAGGCCTGCGGATGGTGGCCAAGGGCCAGCCTGCTCACTTGTCACCTGCTGGCCCCAGGAGCCATCCCCAGGAGCAGGAGGAGAAAGAAGAGGAGGAAGATGAGTCCCGGCCGGGTTCTAGGAAGCCCCCTACAGTCAGTCACCGCTTGGGCCACCGCAGGGCCCTTTTTGAGAAGCGCAAACGACTCAGTGACTATGCTCTTATCTTTGGCATGTTTGGGATTGTTGTCATGGTGACAGAAACAGAGCTGTCCTGGGGTGTGTACACCAAGGTAGGCACTGTCGCTCACATCTGCTCAGCCTGGGTTGGGGCCTCAGATGGGCCACCTGAGCAGGACGAGGACTGGGGTTAATGGGATGCTGCTGTGTGGCTGGGCACAGCTGTTGTGAAGTCACAGGGGTGTGTGACACTGGGACGTTATCTGGCCACTGCCAGGTCCCTTACAAGGTAGCCCAAGAAGCTCTGGAGTGGGGGAGCCACGGGGACAGATCCCATTTGGGTAGTGGTTGTCCCAGCTTAACTGGGGTCTGGGTGGTAACACCATGCACCCTGTAGCACCCTCTCTCTGTGTACAGGGGTCACTGTACTCGTTTGCTCTGAAGTGCCTCATCAGCCTGTCCACTCTCGTCTTGCTTGGCCTTGTGGTCCTCTACCATGCCCGCGAGATTCAGGTTGGTACTCAGAGGTGTGACGGGGTGGGACAGGGGAGGCCTGTGGGATAGCACCCCACCCTCAACTCCTGCCTCCTGTCTGTTTTCCAGGGACTTGTTTTCAGGGTTTTTGTTTGTTTGTTTTGTTTTGTTTTGTTTTTGAGACAGGATCTCAAGTAGCCCAGGCTAGAAACCACTAATTTTCTTGTCAGCGTCTCTGGGTGCTGGTATGGCAACAGGCTCTCAGCTAAGACCTGTTTTCCCCTCTAGTCTCCTCCTTAATGCTGGGTGATGCCTGAGAAGCCTTCATTTCCACCTGCAGCATTCTGACCCAAGGTGGAGGAATGGAGGCTGAGGGAGGCCCCAAAGCCACAAGTGTAGTTCTGCATTGCTGAGAAGGTTCCAGAACAGGGAGTCAGGGTGAGAACTAACAGTGATGAGGTCAGCGGGTGGCATGTGGGCAATGGAGGAGGTGCCACCATCCTGTCAGCCTGTCATCCACAGCCAAGTCCCCACATAAGTCTACCTTCCCTCCTTCCCAGTGTCAGCACAGCAGCCTGCAGAGCGTGAGGTTGTTCCCTCAGGATTGCAGGGTTGCTGCCCGAGCACCTCCCTCAGTGACGCATCGCCAGACAGGGTCAGGGCAAAGTGGAATTAAAATTATAAAGGTACTCTTTGCCGTTCTAGTGGTCAGACCCAGGGTAGCTCAGCAGCATTCTCCCACTGAGCCCAGCCTTCTCCTCCACGCCCTTTTTCTTCTTCTTTTTTTTTTTTTTTTCTATTTTGTGGGTGTGCACATGTGTCTGTCATTTCTTTGGGTTTCAGGACTTGAACTCAGGTCCTCAGGCTTGCCAGCAAACACCTTTGATTGGCTTTGAGTTAGGACTGGATCTGAGAAACCAACCAAGTGTTCTGCATGGCACACACCCCATCATCCTATCACTTTGGAGACTGAGGCAGGAGGATTGCTGATGGTTCAAGGCCAGCCCAAGATAAGACCCTGTCTTCAAAAGGCAAAACAAACACCCCAGCCAGATGGGGTGTTCTCCACCGGCCACCCCAGCATTTGGTAGGCTGATGTATGAGATCAGGGCTTCAGGGTCGTCTTTGGCTTCACAGAAGTTCAGGGCCAGCCTGGGCTACATGACACCCTCTCTCAAAAATACACAAAAAATCTTTGTCCAAAATCCTGAGCTGGGTGAGGCCAGCATTCCCACTGAGGGGTGGCCCCAAGATCAGGAGACCCACCCAGTGACCCCCTCCTGCAGCTGTTCCTGGTGGACAATGGTGCTGATGACTGGCGCATTGCAATGACGTGGGAGCGAGTCTCCCTGATTTCGCTGGAGCTGGCCGTGTGCGCCATCCACCCGGTGCCCGGTCACTACCGCTTCACGTGGACAGCGCGGCTGGCCTTCTCCCTGGTGCCGTCGGCGGCGGAGGCGGACCTGGATGTGCTTCTGTCCATTCCCATGTTCCTGCGTCTCTACCTGCTGGCTCGCGTCATGCTCTTGCACAGTCGCATCTTCACTGACGCATCAAGCCGCAGCATCGGGGCCCTCAACCGTGTCACCTTCAACACGCGCTTTGTCACCAAGACACTCATGACCATCTGCCCTGGCACCGTACTGTTGGTCTTCAGCATCTCCTCCTGGATTGTCGCTGCCTGGACAGTGCGCGTGTGTGAGAGGTGACTGACCGTGGTGGCTCCCTTGAACCCAGACCCCGGGTCCCCACCACACTCGAGACAGCCTTTCCATCCTCTAGCCCTGACCCCAAGTCCCCACCTCCATCCCGTGACCCTGCAGGGTGGACCTCAGCATCTCAGACTGAGGGCTGTGTCCTCGGCCTCCACTGTTTTCCTGGAAACCCAGCCATCGCTCTATCCCTGACCTTCCCCGGGCGTCCCACGCTGGCCTCTGAAATCAGCCCAGCAGAAGGGGCCTCAGGCTCCCCACCCTTGGCCCCTGCCCTGACACCCCACTCTTATTTCTGGGGACCCGGCATAGGACTCGGGGGTGGGGCCACCAGGTACAGGCTCAAGTTTAATGTTAACTTTGCTTCCTTATTTCTGGCCTTCTGGATCCTAGGGGAACATGTGAGCCCCACCCTCAGCTGAGCTGCCTCCACCCCACAACAGTCCCCATGACCCCAGCCACCGAGCTACCACTGTGGTCCCAACAGCCAATGTTTAAGATTAGTTGTGAGGGAGGGAAGCTGGCATCCAGGATGGCCCAGAGCCCAGGATCTTTTCAGCTAAGCTCTGAGAACCAGGTGTCCCAGGTCACCCATAGGCCTGGCTGGGGTGTGGAGTGAGAGAAACTGCAGAGGAGTTTCTCTGGGGTCCCCGGCCTGCCTGCCTGCCTGGAGGCAGTTACGGCGGGGCTTTATCGGCACAGGAGTGCCTTGGTGGCTATGAGGACCATCTGCCCTGTGCCTAGTCAGGGAAGGCCTTGGTGGGTGACCCATGCTCAGCTCCCCACGCTTACCCCATGTTCCTGATGACTCCCAGGGAGTCGGATGCACACACTGTGGTTTCCGTCGCCTAACCCCACTGATCAGAGTGGGACCTCTGGGCTTTCCTCACACTGCCTCTCTGAGCTGGGGGCCCAGGAGAAGGAGCATGAAGTTTGTCTTAAATACCAGGCCACTGCTACTTGCCATCTTGCTTTGCTGCAACCCCACAGCCCTGTCCCTGAATGTCCCATCTCCACACTTGGGTCACCCTGAAGCATCCCCGTAGCTGAAGTCTGGAATGAGCACACAACCTGTCATCCCAGCACTGAGGAGATGGAAACAGGAAGATCAGGAGTTTAAGGTTACCCTTCACTGAATAGCAAGCTTGGGACACCCAGTCTCAAAAAGAAAAAAAATTAAAAAAACCACAAAAACAAAATGATCTCTGGCTGAACAGTGGTGTTGCCTTAAATCCCAGCATTCAGGGGGCAGAGACAGGTCCCTCAGTACCCCTTCTCCCCTCTCCTTATATTAAAACCACCTGCTGGCCTTCAGTCTCCCCAAGTCCTCTTTCCTCAGGCCTCACTGGCTGTGTGGGAAGTGCCTCCTAGTGTCTAACCTATATGCTTGTCTTCCCTATTTGACTGTGTGCCTTTGGGTCATCCTTGGCACTGTCATGGGGTTAGGGAGGACAGACATGGCAGGGAGAGGCTGGAAGGTCCATGAGGAAGGAGGGCGTGGCGCTCCTATCCCAGCCTGTCAGAGTCTGTCACTCAGCCCCCATCCCATTCCCTGAGCATCCAGGGAAAAACGAGCCCCAAAGTTCTGTCCTGCTTGTTAGGGACATGCTGGGTGAAGGTGGCAAGGACCATGTGGGTGACCGAGCTGTCTGTCCCCAACCCCAGGTACCATGACAAGCAGGAAGTGACCAGCAACTTCCTGGGCGCCATGTGGCTCATCTCCATCACCTTCTTGTCCATCGGCTACGGAGACATGGTGCCACACACCTACTGCGGGAAGGGCGTCTGTCTGCTCACTGGCATCATGGTAAGTGCATAGCCCCTGGCTATACAAACCCTACAGACAGGGACCGCACCCCTTACCTTGCTCTGCATGCTGCAAGGTTTTGTTTAGTGAATTCTGGGGACCCCTCACCATGCCTAGAGGCCCCAGCTGACCCCACATATGATTTCAGGGAACCTGCATGACTCATTGGCTCCTCTAAAAGTTTTTCTCTAGGGACTTTAGCAGAAAAAGCTCTCACCTTTGGTAGGTTTGGTCCACCTGGGACATCGACTTCCCTTTTCCCTGATTTGAGCAATGGTCTTCTTGTCTTTTTTTGTTTGAGACAGGGTCTCACTGTGTATCCCAGGCTGGCCTAGAACTCAGAGATCTGCCTGTGTCTGCTTCCCAAGTGCTGGGGTTAAAGGTGTGCACCACTGTCACAGGTTGAGCCCCTGACAGTCTGGACCCTCAGGCCACCGTTCTTATTGAAGTACAGTGACCTGTTCTTGCACAAACAGGGTCATCAGCCAGGCATGTTGGTACATACCTGCCATCCCAGCATTTGGGAAGCTGAGAGAGGAGAATGGAGCTTCCATGCTACTTTGGGTACCTTGCAAGATGCTGTCTCGAAACAAAAATAACTAAAATAAAAAAGGTTCAAACCACATAGACCTCAGCTGGCTCTTGCCAGGCCCAGTTCATAAGCCCCTTTCTCCCTAAAAGGCTTCATTGCTAATTTACTGGCCAAGTTCCACCCAGTAGGAGAAAGGGAAAAATAAGGATGGGCTTTGGCCCACCCTTCTGGAGCCCCAAGCAGAAGCCTTCCAGCCTGGAGGTGCCAGGAGGAAATAAAAAACTACATTTCCTAATGAGCCAGACCCCTTCTAGAAAGTTCTGTGGTTAACCACAATCCCTTAATGGACACAGGTTTAAAAGCATGACTCCTGGCCAGGCGTTGGTGGCGCATGCCTTTAATCCCAGCACTTGGGAGGCAGAGGCAGGCAGATCTCTGTAAGTTCGAGGCCAGCCTGGTCTCCAGAGCGAGTGCCAGGATAGGCTCCAAAGCTACACAGAGAAACCCCACAAAGAAGAAACCCGTTTTAAAAAAACCAAAAAAAAAAAAAAAAAAAAAAAAAAAAAAAAAAAAGCATGACTCCTGCCAGGCATGGTGGCGCACACCTTTAATCCCAGCACTCAGGTGGATCTCTGAATTCCAGGCCAGCCTGCTCTACAGAGTGAGTGCCAGGACAGCCAGGCCTGCATAATGAGACCCTGTCTCAAAAAAACAAACAAAAAAGTATATAACTCCTTAGAGAAAATTCTAACCAGCAGCTTGGGTCACGCCCCAGGCCCCTATTTTGACAGTCTTACTGTGGTCCAGGCAGTCCAGACTCCTGAACTCCATCGATCCTCTTGCCTCCACCTCCTGTGCCACACTGCCTGGTTTACCGCTCCTCCACTCTTCTGTCACCATTTTCCTTTCTGGGCACAGACAGTCACACTTTCGTCTTTTTCACCCGCACCCACCATTTTCTCCTTAGATCCGATGCTGCCATGCCTGGCCTTTTAATAAATACAACCCATGTGTGTTCCTTTGTGCTTGTGTGGATCTTTCCCCTGTTCTTTGTCCCGACTCTGTAGTATTCCACACAGAATTTTCCAACAAGTTGCTTTGATCTTGTCAATATGACTTTCCCCAAAAAGAGGCTTCTGGGCCATTCAAAGACCAGGAATGAGATGGACTCACCAGGCAGTCTCTGTACTCTGCCTGCCCTGCCTGGACTCAGCACCTGCCTCCTGCCTCCTTCCTGTGCCAGTGGCGGCCTTGGGTATTGGCAGTGCCCTGTTTGGCTGTGGTGGAGCCCCTTCCCCTCTTTCCTGTGTAACTCTTCATGTCCCCCTCCCACTGGGGCAAAGGGGCAGGACCCAGGGAGGGCTTCCTGGAGGAGGGTGTGCCTGGTGTTGGGACTGGCATGCCCTCATCCCACACAGGGAGCAGGCTGCACTGCGCTGGTGGTGGCTGTGGTGGCCAGGAAGTTGGAGCTCACCACGGCTGAGAAACACGTGCACAACTTCATGATGGACACGCAGCTCTCCAAGCGGGTGAGTCCCTCCCTGCTGGCCTCAGCCAGTGGGAGATACCTCCTGTCAGGTCACCACAGCAGCCATTCCAAAGCTGTGCCAGGCTCAGCCCCCATGTCCATGTGTGTTAGGTGTTCTGTGTTGCAGGGGACATTCAAAAGAGAGTCACTCCAGAACGTAATTCAGACTCTCTGGCAGCGGAAGGAACAGTTTCTGTGAACTGAACCTCAGAAGATATTTATTGACTGTACACAAAGGTTGTGTTTGGGGCACAACAACTTCCTCACAACAAAGTCCCTTTGGTTTAGCTATGTGTTCTCTGATCACATCGCACAGCCTTCCGTCCTTACTGTGTACTGTTTGCAGTGCCCAATAAGGCAAGCCCTCCAAGTGTGCCTGGGTAGTCTTGTGACCAAAGTCATGTAGCACATGGAAAAACCCATCAGAAAAACACCTCTATAAAACAGAAAACAACCACTGCTCTCGACATGGTTTCTTCAAGGTCTAGGTACCTTCTACAAATATAATACACTTTACTGTTACTCCTGTGCGAGAAACATTGTTACATTCTAATGTTTACCCTAGATACAATGACTCTACTAGATTCCCGCTGCACAACGTCTGCAGCTCAGAGGAGACAGGGCCACATGCAGCAGCTTTCCACCAAGTCCATGCCACGAACCAACCTTCAGCATCTGCACATTGCCCTCTCTGTGCCTCAGCTTCCTCGTCTGTAAAGTGAACGAGGGGCTGGAACCCAGTTGTCAGAGAGTTTGTCTGGCAGGCGCAGGGCACTGGACCCCACCCAGCACCACGTGAACCAGGCATGTCATCCTAGCACTCAGGAGCCAAAGGCAATCAATGCCATCCTCAGCTGCACAGTGAGTTTCAGGCTAGCCTGGGCTACATGAGACCCCGTAAAACATAGTTTTCAATGTTCCTAATGCTGTGACCCTTTAACAGAGTTCCTCATCCATCGTGGTCACCCCCCAACTATACGATTATTTTTGTTGCTACTTCATAACTATAATTTTGCTACGGAATCATAAAGTAAATGCCATAAAGTAAATATCTGTGTTTCCCAAAGGGGCTGCAGCCTACACATTGAGACCTACTGCTGTAAAAGAAGCTAGCATGTGCGGAGTTGCTACATTCCCATTTTCTGTATTTAACAGTCTGACACCTGTGTTACATTAGATACAGGCATGTAAACATGCCTCTGGCTCACAATGTAGGGAACCCCAACAGGCAGTTCTTGGATTTCTAGAGGTTTCTAGAAGTTTGCAGAAGTTTTGAGTCATCTGATAACAACCCTAAGGAACTGTTCTCTTCTGCTCCCCAGGTCAGAAATGCTGCTGCAAATGTTCTCAGGGAGACATGGCTCATCTACAAACACAGCAGGCTAGTGAAGAAGCCAGACCAAGGCCGGGTTCGGAAACACCAGCGTAAGTTCCTCCAAGCCATCCATCAGTAAGTGTGGCGACTTCACAGCTCCTTTCCCTGTGCACCTGGCTCTCAGGCAGCCGCTCATGGCTGTGCCCTAGATCTGCCCCAAGGAATGTTCGAGAATGTTTGTAAAGATTCCAGAAGAGGAAAGTGGGGGGGGAGGGTGCTGAGGTAGATGAGGGTGCCCAGGTAGACGAGTCTCTGTGTGAGTTACCTGTGCCCTGGGGCACTGGCACTCTGACATTGGTAGCCCTGTACCTCCATGGTCTTTTCCTGAATACCTGCTACAGCAGTTTTTGAAGCCAAACAAGATTGGATTAGGTGGTGGCGCATGCCTTTAATCCCAGCACTCGGGAGGCAGAGGCAGACAGATCTCTGTGAGTTTCAGGCCAGCCTGGTCTACACAGTGAGTTCCAGGACAGCCAGGGCTGCACAGAGAAACCCTGTCTCAAAACCAAAAACAAAGCAAAACAAAAAAATGGATTAGGGCTCAGAGGGGGCAGGAGTGTGGACCGGATCCCAGGAACAGCCATGCCAAGGAGGGTTCAAAGCCCAGGCTTCGGCAGGAGGTTCGGGAACCAGCATGAGCAAGGGGTCTGAGTAGGAGAGCCCCCACAATGGAACTAGTAATTGAGCTCCAGGGAAATCAAATAAATAAAACCAAGAAATGAACAGTCCTGAAAATAATACACAGAGGGCACATGTGATTTGTGTGGGTCTGAATCTTTCCAGCTCTGGTGGTCCTTGGCCTATAGAGTCTGCATCCCAGCCTCCATCCTCATGGGCTCCCTGCCCTGGATGTGTCCTGTGTGTGTGTCTGCCACCCTGCCTCTCTTTCCTTTATTTTATTTTTTGCCTGTGGTAGTATGTTGCTCAGTGGGTTCCAGGGTCAGATCCTGGGCCTTAGGAGGCAGTCACAGCCTCTGTGGAGATTTAGCTGCAGGATGAGTCATGGAGAGTGGAATCCACGCAGCAGCCTCTTCTGGGAGGACAGCCCTCCCTGGGTCAAGGGCACCATGTCTGACCAGCAGCCAAGGGGTCAAGACCTATCCGTGTGCTGACCCCTGTGGTGCCTCAGTTTCCTTGCCCTCGGAGGCAAGGCACCTGACACCTGCCCCTCACAGGCTGCAGAATGAATGGTGGGCAGTGCCTGGGGACGGTACTGGTAGGTGGCACTCAGCATGTTGCTGCATGGGATTAAAATTGCTTTGTGTTTTTTCTTTCTCTCTGCTCTGCCGGTTCCTGCCAGGGCTCAGAAGTAAGTCTTGGGCTGATTGGAAGACTGGGGGACTCATGATGCCCGTGGGGAGAGGCACACCACAGGTGTGTCCCTAGTGGGCAGAGACTATGTACATCCGGAGGGTGAGGTGTGTCCAGTCCTTGGTCTGATCTAGATCAGACTTGTGGCTGCATCCCCCTCTCAGCCTTGTAGCCTGCTGTAACCTGACCCACCCTCACCCCTGTCTCCCCAGGCTTCGGAGTGTGAAGATTGAACAAGGAAAAGTGAATGATCAGGCCAACACGCTGGCCGACCTTGCCAAGGTGAGCATTGAGCAGGACAGGAGGGGAGGGGGAACCAGAGTGTCCTATCAGAGGAGGGTGGGAACCTACAATGTAGCATCCAGTGTTTCTGTTCAAATTCACAATTAATATTCCAGACATAGGACTACAAGCCAGAGAGTCCTGGCTCCTCCAGAGGCTGAGGCAGGAGGATACCTTGAGGCTAGGAGGTCAGAAATAACCTAGGCTACATACAGATCCAGTGTTGAATATACAGACAGCCTAGGATTCTAGTCAGGGCTCCACCCCTGAACCACAGCCACAGCTCCTGACTGGGAGATTCTAGTCAGGGCTCCACTCCTGAGCCACACCCCCAGTGTAAGCATTGTGGTGACTCAGATGGGATGGGGATGGATTCTGGCACTCAGGAGCCAAAGAATACTGAGTGTTACAGCTCGGGTGGAAAGATATTCTGGCACTCCAGAGCCAAGGAATACCACAGGTCACAGTAAGTGTAACAGCTTACAGCCTTGCTCCAGGGAAGGCTTCCCCAGTGTATCAGCTCTGCTCTGGCAGAAGAGGGTTTCCCCAGTGAAGTTATTACAGTTCTGCTCAGGTCCCTGGAGTGTAGTGTAACAACACTGCTTGGCTAGGGGAAGCTTTCCCTGGGGAAAGTGTAACAGCCCTGATCTGCTACCTCTGCTCTGGAAAAAAATCTGTTACTTCTCTGCATTCTTACAAAAGAAGGTCTCACCCAGACCTCATTCAGGAGATTTATTGGGAGGGAAGAATCCAGGAGAGTGGCAGCCAGAACTGCACAGACACAGGGTTTATAAAGGGATTCTTAGCGGGTGGAGTTTTTCCAGGGAGATTTCCAGGGTGGGGATTGGTCAGATTTCAATCCCTGAGCTCAGAATGGCTAAATCTCCTGCTCAGGGATTGGTTAGTTTTCTGCACAGGTCTAGGGTCAGATTTGGCTCTCCTCTCAGGACCAAAGTGTGTTTCTTTCATTGGTCCTTTTTAGCCTTTTAGCTCTAATTTTAGGGCCAGGGTGTATTCTTTTCACTGGCTCTGATTCCAGGGACAAAGTGTGTCTCCTTAGCTCTGCTCAGGGTGTGTTTCTTTGGCTGGGCCTTTTTCCCAGCCCCTCACTGGGGGATTCTAGGCAGGGCTCCACCCCTGAACCACACCCCCAGCCCCCTCACTGGAGGAATCCTAGTCAGGGGCTCTACCTCACAGCCCTGTTCTACCCAGTAATATTTTCTGAAGTTATTAAATTCTTTTTGTTGTTTTTTGAGACAGGGTGTTATGTAGCCCAATCTGTCCTGGAATTCACTTTGTAGCCAAGGACAACTTAGAACTACTGATCCTCCTGCCTCAGTTTCTAGAGGTCAGGGGTGTTAGTCAGAGGTCATAGTGATTCATTGGACATTGTTCATTCCAATACTAAGAAGGTACAGTGGGATGATTGCTTTGAATTCAAGGGTGGCCTTCAGACTGTCTCAAAATATACATACAAATGAATAAATAAAAAAATAAAAAGTCGGGCTGGAGAGATGGCTCAGAGGTTAAGAGCACTGACTTCTCTTCCAGAGGTCCTGAGTTCAATTCCCAGAAACCACATGGTGGCTCACAACCATCCCTTGTGAGATCTGGCGCCCTTTGCTGGTGTGCAGATATACATGGAAGCAGAATGTTGTATACGTAATAAATAAATAAAATCTTTAAAAAAAAAGAAGTCAGGCCCAGGTGGGCAGTGGTGTATGCCTTTAACCCCAGCACTCAGGAGACAGAGGCAGGTAGATCTCTGTGAGTTCTAGGCCAGCCTGCTCTACAGAACAAGTTCCAGGACAGGCTCCAAAAGCTATACAGAGAAATCCTGTCTTGAAAAACAAAACAAACATCAACAACAACAACAACAAAAAGTCAAGCTATGTGTGCTAGTGCACACCTGTAGTCCCAGCACACAGGAGGCAGAGGCAGGTGGATCTCTGTGAGTTTGAGGCCAGCCTGGTCTACAGAGTGAGTCTCAGGACAGCCAAAGAAACCCTGTTTCGAAAAACCAAAACTAAATAAAGAAAAGTCAAGCTGGGTCTGGTGGTGCACAACTTTAATCCCAGCTCTTGGGAGGCAGAGTTTGGGAGTTTCAGGCCAGTCTGGTCTATATAGCGAATCGAGGACAGCTGTGGTGATGCCCTGTCTCAATAAAAACAAGAAAAAAAAAAAGAGAGAGAGAGAGAGAGGGCTCTGAGCCAGATTTCTCCAAATGTTACACCCTGGATTCTTTAAGAGTGGGAACAGGTGAGGTACAGCCTAGGCAAAGGGTGAGGCAGCCCAGAGGACAGTGGCTGGGTTAGTCTTCAGTGCCCTTGCCGCCTGGATGGCGATGTTTGCACGCGCCCTGGCGGTGAGCGCGGCGCCTGCGGCGGGGTCCGCGCGCCTCTGGCGCCCCCTGCTGACCAAGGCCATAGCCACACCCGGCTAGCTCCTTTCACAGAAACTGTTCCTATCCTGTGCTCTTTTGATCTTCTTGGTGGCCCCTGGTGTCCGCAGCCCTCCGTCCTTAGCCATCCCGTGGTTCCTGCGTTTGTCACTCGGTCAGTCTCTCCATCTCTGCAGGCGCAAAGCATCGCATATGAAGTGGTGTCCGAGCTGCAGGCCCAGCAGGAGGAGTTGGAAGCACGCCTGGCCGCCCTGGAGAGTCGCCTGGACGCCCTGGGCGCCTCCCTGCAGGCCCTGCCAGGCCTCATCGCCCAAGCCATATGCCCTCTGCCACCTCCCTGGCCAGGGCCTGGTCGCCAGGCCCTAGCCACTCAGAGCCCACCAGGCCACTGGCTGCCCACCCTGGGGTCGGACTTCGGGTGACTGACTGCGGGTCACCGTACTGCTAAATCTTGGCCATCATGTGGCTACAGCTAGCTCCTCCTCATTCTGGACCTCTGGATTTGCAAGCCTGTGAGGAGCTGAGCCGAGAGAACTGGCATTCATTCCCCCAGACTGGACTATGGGATCTTGCTGGGCCCCTGGCTGTCCTAAGCCCCAGGAGGGCAAGCAGGGGTCCCTTGCCGTTTCTTAGTAAATCAGAAGACACCAACCGCTTTCTGTTTACATGGCAGGGGGACCCTGAGCTTCTCCCCAAAGGAGGTGGGTGTCCCAGCCGGAGGATTCCCGAATGGTGGGGTCAGTGCTCACACACTGAGTGCCTAAAGTTTATACAATGACTTTTCTTCAGGATCTATCTGACTGGAGTAAGATACAGGCTCAGAGGTGAGCCTTGCCTACAGCCACGCAGCAAGGGTGGATAGATTCCACTTGCTGGTTCTGACATCAAATAAAGTGTTAATGGGAGGGTCAGACTTGGAGGTGGTGGGAGGCCAGGGCTACAGGCAAGCAGAATGGCCAGGTCCTTCCAGGCCTTGGGTTCCAGGCTTTGGCCACTTGGGGAACACTGGGATCCCTGACAGCGATAGGTGGCAATCAGGACCAACTATGTCTCTGGAGACAGTGGCCCTGTGGCTGGCTTCCTAGAGGCCTGGCTTGGACTCCACAACAAGTAGTTCGTGGGGAGGGACTGTTGGGGAAACTGGGCTCCACTCCCTTGCTGCAATGGGGCATGGCTGGCCTCTGTATCGGGAGAGCAGGCCCAACCCAACCCTACACAGGGCCAGCAGGTAGGTGCTCAATGAATGCGTCCTCCAGAGACTGCCCATGAGGGCCTGAGCAATACGGCCTCATCCTGTCCTCTGTGAGCAGTGTTAGCTCGCTGCGGTCCAACAGAGCCCGAAGAAATAAACAAGACAGGAGATGGTCTTTAATGCTAACACTTGGGGGCCGAAGGCCGGTGGATTGCTGTGAGTTCCCTAGCCACACAGTGAGACTGTGGCCGGGGGAGCAGAAACAAGGCTGGAGGTGACCTGGGACTCCTTGGTGATGACATTTGGGGTGGAGGACAACAGAGTCCCTCAGTCCCAGCAAATACAAAGGATGGGGCAGGATCTGAGGTGGTGTGCCGCAGTGATGCGGAGCGGAATGAGAGTATAAAATGCAGCTGTGGGGCGGGGCGTGGGGTCCCCCCAGCCTGAGGAATCGCGCCCCGCGCTGGAGCGGCGGGAAGTCCCGGCAAGCCTGCCCGGGGCCATGCAGCTGCGTGATGCCGGACGCGGTGAGCGGGGACAGCGCCTCTGCGGGGGTGCGGGCGCCCGCGTACTGAAGGGCGCAGCGTGGGCATGATCGCTGTGGCCAGCGACTTCACTGCAGCCGAGACCTCCCGGGGGACAGCAGGTGCTGCTTCCAGGTGAGCTCGCGGAAGTGGGACGCCTTGTGCGGCAGACATTCAGGAAGCTGAGGCAGGGGGATTGCCAGGAGTTACATGACGGGACCCTGTCTCAACACGTGGGAAACACGTGGGTGTGGGTGTACATCTGTCGTCGCAGCACTGGGGAGCCTGAGGCAGGCAGGTAGTTCGTAGTAGTTTGAGCCTCAAAAACGCCAGGGCTCCCAGAGGTCGGATTTCCCACAGGGACACCCACCCATCCTGGGTCAAGTCCTCAGGCTTGCATTGTGTCCCCATTTCAGGCCTGTGACAACCTGGACACAGAGGTTGCACCGCGGGACACACCTGGGCGGGCCAGGAAGCCTCCAGCTGTGTGGGGTGCCAATTCTCAAGGAACCCTGTCATCTCCGTGCACCCAGAGCCCTGCCTCAGTTTACCTCGTAGTGTGCTACTCTGGGTCCTTCCCTGGAGTCGGGAAGGCGTTTGTGGGTGGGGTTGGAACGTCTCCCACTGGGGCACCCATTATACATCGTCCTCAGAACCCTCCCACCTCACGCGCCAGCCTGGAGCACAGTCCCCGCCCCAGCGCAGCGCCCGCGCCCGCGCCAGCTGTCGCCTCTCTGAGCTCCAGGCCTCAGTGTGCCTGACTGTGGTGCA